AGTTACTACTGTGCCTAACATGCCTTTATCCTCTGCTGTGCTGGATGCTGAGCCCTCCTCTGAAACTTCTGGGCTATAGAAATCCCACAGCCAGAGCATTGGAAACAAGAACAATTGCTGCCCTAATTCTGTGGGTGCTCCAGACCTGGAGATGTCACCTGAAATTACGGAGTGAGTCTGCGGCAGAGTCTCAAGCTGCACCTTTGCCCACTGCTTTGAACACAAGGCTTGACCATTTGGGTTGCCTTCGTTTGCCAGCCTGGACTGGAGCTTTGTGTGGCTCAGCTGTACCAGTTCCCTGGCATTTGACTTGTGGCTGAGTTAGTTTGTACACGGAAGGAGTCACACCCAAATTTTGCTGGGCACAATGGTCAGCATGTGCTTGTCCCTGCTGACCTCCCCTCTTGGCCCCAGACGACTCAGGAGCAAGCTGTGCAAAGATCTTTTGACTGTGAATGACACCTTGAAGGCATGGGTGCATGGTCAGCTGCCTGGGGGACAGGCAGGGTGAGTGCAGCCCATCTCTCACGGATGTGAGTGCAGCCCATCTCTCACGGATGAATGCGAGATGTCATAGAAACATGTTTACAGCAACAGAGATCCCATTAGCTGTCTGCTTTTTTTCAGGGCTCCTGCTCCAAGAATCTGCTTCTTGGAAAGCACACAAAAAGCCCAGCTGGGCCCAGAAGGAGCCGCTTTGGGAAGAGAAGACAGAGGATGATAATGCCAGGAGAGTCTGGCTGCAAGGCCAGGCGTTAGCCTAGGAAAGAGCAAAGTCTGGTTGTGATGGTCTGTGGACCTTGAGTTAAAACTGAAGCTCTGGAGAAAAAAACCACAACTTTTCAGGCACCCTCATTCCTAGTCTGTAAAGGGACCCACCCCCACTGTGTGGCCTCATCAGCCCTCTGGGCTGGGTGCACTGGTGGCACAGAGTGGCACGCAGCCGCCAACTTCTCTATAGAAGTGCAAAAAAAAAAAAAAAAAAAAGCCAGCATGGCTTCAGCGCACACTGATGTTGCTGCAGT